AACTGTCCGCCTCCTTAGATATATACTCAAGTCCACGCCCTCACCCTGTTGCCTTGTACTTGGATATCTGTATCTGTTCTTCCATTTGACTGAAAACTACTTGAAGGAAGAGATGGTATCATCTTCAATTTTATATCCCCAGAGTCTAGCACTATGTTTGGTACATGAAAGGAGCTCATGTACTAAATGATTGGATGGTCGCACCCATGTGTCCCACAGCCCTTTGCCCCCCAACTTTAATACCTGTGAAATGTTGCATCAGGAAAGTGTATTAGGCACAAATAGAATGATACCTTCTGTGGTACAGGTTTTATAGAACCATAGGATTCTTGGCTGGAGGGGACCTGAGAGCCATTTAGCCCAATCCCCTATTTCAAAGATGAGAAACCAGAAGGCCCAATGGATGAAGTGACTTGTCATGGTCCACTCCTCATAAATGATAGATCCTGAATTAGAAAAAGACCCATGTTCTAAGATATTAAGTCTAGCACCCTTTTAGCATCAGGGCAGAGATTTCCTATCTCACTTAGATGTAGCCTCAGTGGCCAAGGAAGCTGGGAACTTCTTATCCCTGCAGAGGGAAGTAATAAGTTGTCTAATAACCCTGTTTATGCACATGATGTTATTCAGTCTTTAAAATAACTGTATAAGCTTGGTATTACTGTTTTATAGATGGAGAAGTTAACTGCCAAAACCTTACAGTTGAAAGTAGCAGAGCCAGGGTGGAGACTTACATCCCTGCCATTCAGAGTTAGAATGAAGAATGCACTTTCTCACAGAAAACAGTGGTGAACAGCCTTAAAATGCTACTATTAGTTGGGTATTTCAAAACGTAAAGTTAGCTTTTATGGTTGAAATCTATTTCTTGATACAGTATGTTCTCTTTTCTCAATCCCATATGTAGGAAATTGATGGGAACTGTACCTCCAAATCTCTTCTGATTTACCTTTGGGGATATGAACATAAAATTATTGAAATAATTGTTATGCCTCTGAGAAGATTTTATTGTTATCCTTGAGCAGGTGAAAGCACCTATCTATTCTAAATAAGAAACCTATTGGTGCTAGGTGTTCTCCTTTCTGCAAAGCAACAGTGGCACCTGGTGGTTCCATTTGGTAACTACAGATTTTTGTTGTTGGCTTAAATTTACCGTGTAAGTACTTCCCCTGAGCCTAATCATGGGCTTAAGTAACTAGCAAGTTTACTCCATATAGGTCCTCAATATAATGGTTTGTTTATCTAAACTGATGGCTTCTGTACTCAGAGAAGACTAATGTTTATATGAGTAAAATGCATCTCTTTTCCAGGCTCAGTAAATTAATTGTAAACAGAAAATATACTGGCTTTTATAAATGTGGAGGGTTTTCTTTAAATAATATTTCAAGTTTTTTTTCCTGGTTATAAAATCAGTATATACTATTGCAGAAAATTGGATAAATACAGGAAAATATTGGGAAGAAAACAAAAATACCTTAATTATACTACCTACATGTAACAACTGTTAAGATTTTCCTATAATCACCATATATATGTACATATTAATTCATATATGTACACACATACATTATTTAAGAAAATAAGGACTTTGTATGTTTCAATTCACATGATAAAATTTAAATGTTCACAATGTGACTTTGAACATATTTGAAAACATGACTTTTAATAGGTCCCCATAATATTCTCCTTAATTTTTAAAAATGATTGCTCTCTACTAATGTTGGGCATTTATTTCAATATTCTCTGTGTAACTCCAAATTCTAAAGTCTTCCCATTTTGTCAAAATACTTAGCTCTACAATAGGCCATCCTTACCCATGTACTGAGAAGTTTCCCTACCCACCTGTTACAGGAAGGCTTACGATTTCTGTATCTCCAAATGTCTATATTCAAATTCAATCCACTAAAGTAGGAAAACATTAAATTCCAAATATGAGGGAAGGATGGTGAGTGTATGGTTGTGTGGAAGATAGATATGGTCTTTGGAAGAAGGTTGCTAGAAAAGGCAGTGGATATGGCTTCAACAAGTATTGTAGAATGCTCAGCATTTTTTTTAGGGCAGTGGTATAAAAAGTAGGGTGTGCAAGATAATGCTTTGGGGGATGGAATATTTTGATCTTTTGTATGTATCAATATCCTTTTTACTTTCTATATTTATGTGTATATTAGAATATACGTAATGTCATTACAATAATGCATTTTTTTTTTAAAGATTTTATTTATTTATTTAATTGACAGGGAGAGAGAGAGAGACCGTGTGAGAGGGAACACAAGCAGGGGGAGTGGGAGAGGAAGAAGCAGGCTTCTGGCCAAGCAGGGAGCCCGATGCGGGGCTCAATCCCAGAACCCTAGGATCATGACCTGAGCTGAAGGCAGTCGCTTAACCAACTGAGCCACCCAGGCGCCCCGACAATAATGCATTTCTAACTTAGAAGTAAATGTGTATATTTAGTAAATGTGCAATAAAAAAATTTTTCTAGAAACCACTACTTTAGACTATGTTGAAATGAGGGTAAGGTTGTAGGTCTGCTTGCTTTGGGGGCCTATTGGTCCTAAAGAGAAATCATACAGATTACACCCCATCCTCCTTTCCTCTCCTATCTTACAGAGATTCGGACCAAAAAAAATGTGGAAAGTTCTGTGTAAATCTATTGTCACTGCTGCAAAGCCAACCCAGAGTTCAAAATGCTTGTTTTTTACTGCAGAATGTGACTTAGTAACAGTAGCTTCACATACAAAGAAGGGCATATTTTGAACAATGTAGATGCTCAAGTAGGCCTATAAATTAAGAATGGGGGAATGAGAAAAAGTAGTATTTATGGAATCACTGAGTGTCAGAGCTAGAAGTTTCTTAGTATCTTGCCGAATTCCATCCTTTACTGATGAGGAAATGGGTAGAGTGGTGAAGTGTTGTCTAAAGCCTTATAGCTAGGTAAGAGTCAAAACAATGCGTCAGAATTTGCATGACCTAGCCATTTGCAAAGAAACATTTGGCATTTCCTTTTAGATATATGCAAGTGAAATTATTAAGTTAATTTTTAAAAGGCAGTTCATTGCAAAATTCCTCAAATTTGGGTTTGATTTATATTCAGGAAGACCTATAAAAACACATATCGCTTAAATTTACGTACCTGATCCTTTCATCGATCCTTATTAAATTTTGTTTTTATAACTTCCTAATCCAGATATTTTTGGATATCCCAGAAAACTTTTGTCATTCTTGTTTTGGTTTTTGTTTTCTTATTGGAATATAATCATGTTCAAGTATGAAGGTCTCTAGCATTCATTTCAGGCATTATTTAACCAATAATTTTATGACCTTATTAAATAAAGTCTTCTGACATTCACCATCACTATTTAAAATCAATATTGCCTTTAGCATTATTGTTTCTCTCTTCTAGATATAATGTGAACACATAAGGTATTTATCCATGTACTATGACATATGCCTATATATAGGAAGGACCATGGATAAATGTTTTTTAACATTTTATCAGTTTTTCTGTTAAGTCACCATTTCTGTAATGGGTACTAGAGGAGATTAGAGTCTCTGGAATTCTTTTTTTTTTTAAGATTTATTTATTTGAGAGAGAGAGCGCATGTGCACACGCTGGCACACGCAAGTGAAAAGAAGAGCAGAGAGGTACAGAGAGAATCTCAAGCAGCCTCCATGCTGCGCACAAAGCCTGATGCGGGGCTCTATCTCACAAGACTGAGATCACTACCTGAACCGAAACCAAGAGTTGGACCCACTCAACCGACTGCCTCACCCAGTCGCCCCTCTGGAATGATTTTTCAAACTCACATGCCCAGATCCCTCTCCAGAGCACAAAGAGTTTGTCAAAACTCCCCAGATGATTTTGAGATTTTCTCTTCTCCTTCCTCCTTTTTTACTCACACCACTTAAGAATTATAGCTCTCTTTTATGATATCTGGGCCCTTAATCTAGCAGTAACTTAATTGTCAGAAATCCATATGATAAGGGAATTATTCTATAATGATTTGGGAAAAGAAAGTTTAAGCTAGAAATATGAATTCATTTTCAGTTGTGTCAACCATAATAATGGAATGAATCAAAAGAATCATTTACCAAGAAGTGGTTATTATTGTGAGTTTTCAATCAGTAAGTGTTAAAACCTAGCAAATGTTTTTTCAAATAGGTTCAAATAAATGCAGGGCTGACATGGCATGAAAATCTGAAGCCTAAAGCAAAGAAATAGACTAGTTTGTAAGTATAGAAAAAGCAGGGGCACCTGGGTGGCTCAGGCGTTAAGCGTCTGCCTTCAGCTCAGGTCATGATCCCAGGGTCCTGGGATTGAGCCCCGCATCGGGCTCCCTGCTCGGTGGGAAGCCTGCTTCTCCATCTCCTACTCCCCTTGCTTGTGTTCCTGCTCTCGCTATCTCTCTTTCTCTGTGTCAAATAAATAAATAAAATCTTTAAAAAAATAAAATAAAATACTGATAATGTAAGTACAGGGATAATGCAGTGAACCAGACAGACTCATGCTGGAGTCCACATCCCAGTGGTTCAGCTGGTTGCTATGTGCCGTATCCGTCCGGACTGAACGGTGCCAGCAGTTGTTGGGAGTAAGCTGCACCTGTTCCTGCTCTGTCAATCACTGCTGAAACACTATGAACCAGAGGTTTGGTATGGAAGACCACTCCCTCAGGGAGCCTTCCTTTCTGGTTGAGCTTAGGAACAAATATTGCAGCAATTCCTTCCATTTATCTGGAGTGGGATTTTCTTTCTGCCTTCTTTATGTTTTGTGCTTTTGGTCAGGTGTTTACAACATACACACACTGCAGATTGTCCCCCTCCATGCAGGATGAGCTGGCTGATGATGCTTCTCCCCACTTCTCAGACAGGAGGACTGATAACACAAGTGGGCAGTGGATATTCTTAGGAATGGATATTAGAGTTGTACTTGCCAATCTTATTTTTCATGTGTACTTTCTATTATCCCCCAAATAAGCAGCCCTTTCTGCTTTGATCTTTTAATTCAGTTTGAATATGTATCACAACATTTGGTATTTGCCAACTGCATTCCATTGATCCTGAAGTTCTTCAATCAAAATATCTTGTCCTACATCACTGCCAAAAACAGGTATGGACTCTGGACAGGTTTATTTCAAAGGTCTGTTTTGGGATGGGTTGGGAAATATACATCATCTCTGAGCCTTTCAGTTCTCCTTGTGTCCCTAGTCCTTTCTATCTTAGAGCTGTCACTGTTAAATTTAATTTCCTTGAAGTGTTAATTGATGGGTTGTGTGGTTTGGCCTCTTCACAGAGGTATTTGTATTTTAATAGTTTTGAAAACTAAAAAATGTCACAACTCAAATAAATAAAACTGCAACAATGAAATTTTAGCCCTATGGCAGAAGGATCCAGAAGATGTTTTTTTTGTGAAACAGCCTTCTTATCTGGCCAGCCCTGATCTTTATAAATCATAAGTTGTAACAATTATACTACTTTGTAAACTGTAGTGTTATGTAGAATTTGTAACTCAAGGTAATAACAGACCCTTACTTAGATCAGTTTGTAATAAAACAAATATATGGTATTTTATTTCATCTCCTCAGTAATGGTAAGAAATATTACAACAAGTTTTATTCTCACTTCTCCAATTAGTAAACAAATTCAGGGAGGTTAATTGACTTGCTCAAGATTAACATGCTAGTGAGACGACTTAAGTAAGAGGCAGGATCAAAACACAGATTGTTTGGGCGCCTGGGTGGCTCAGTTGGTTAAGCGACTGCCTTCGGCTCAGGTCATGATCCTGGAGTCCC